GAGAGAGAGAGAGAGAGAGAGAGAGAGAGCTGTTTGTAACCAAAGTAGGTAAAGAAGGTGGCAGGATACATACATACATACATACATACAATACACATATCCGAACTTCCGGAAACTGTGAAATCTGTGGACGGGATCGGCCGTTCGAGAACATACATGGATGGACAAATTAAGGAAGAATGGAATTGAAACGACGGCAACAACGACGAAGAGGGACATGTTTATGGCGCGTGTTTCTACCAACGATATCGATGCGATTCGTCTCTGTCCAATCCGCAGTATCCCCCCGCTTGTGGAGCAAAGTTCAGACTTTACAGAGAACCGATGCGTGACTAAACCATCCCGTCGATGAATCCTCAGTCTTCGCGGATGAGTTGCTTGGGAGACCGAATCGACGAAACAATTGAGTAAGGCAAGAGGAGAACGAGTGCGCCAGCAACGTACCTGAACTAGTAATACAATACCACCTCCCCTCGACGGAATTTTCGATTTTGATATTGATCGGGATTCAAGTTGCGATAATCACCGGTTGGAAAGAGAATCAAAATGCACACGAACAAGTTGAAATTGCCGTACGCTGAAAAGAATCAGCGTTAGTAAAATCTGAGAAAGGGAAAGAGAAAGAATCGATGCGTCGCTCGGTGGAAAGACATTGGAAGTTCCACGATCGGTTAATTTCTCCCGAAGTGGATTGTTGAGAAGAAGTTGGCGAAGCAAGGGTCACTCGGAAAACTCGAGCCAACGAAAAAGAAAATCGATGAGCAAAACCGATCGGAACGATGCGTCTCGTTGATCGGCTCCTTTTTCTTTCTCTTCTGATCATGGGACATCAAGTCGAGGCAATTTGGCCGAAAGTTGGAAATCCCTTGTCTTTCGTTTGGTGGAATTTGTACACGCGATCGGGGAATTCCAGCCCTTGGGACTTTAGCTCCAGCTCGAACTCTGAGGCTGGTTCGAATTTCAATTTGGGTTCTAGTTCTAGTTCGGGCTCTGGTTCTGGTTCTGGTTCTGGTTCTGGTTCCGGTTCCGTTTCCGTTTCCGTTTCCGGTTCCACTCTCGGTCCGTCTTCGATGTTTGCGGAAGAGGATTGTACAGAGTGCGCTCACAACAAGATCAGTTTGCTTGGGAAAGATCCGATTATGATCGTGCTCAGGGTCGAATACGTGAAGGAACAAATCCTCAAGAAACTGCGACTCTCCAAGCCTCCGGAAATATCGATGCCGTTGTCGACCTTGCCAAAGCCTCTGATAAACGGTCGTGTGCTCGAACTTCGACCCGGGGAGCCTCTCGAACCGGAAAAATCAATCGACAGTTTCTATGGGAAAACCGATCAAATTGTTGTCTTTCCAAACGAAGGTTAGTTTCTTCTTCTACCTTTTTTCAATTTACCTCGAAACGCAATGATACCCTGTAAGTAATACGACGATGTAAACACGGAGACTTGGGTCCGTCAATGTATGTATCTGTCGGTCTACCCGTTATGTGTTCTGTACATAATCTGTATTCGGTTCCATTTGCAGAAACGCGGCCGGTAAAAAATGAATTGAAATAGTTTTTTTTTTTAAATACCGACGACGAATGATGAATGACCGGAAATGCAAGTAGAAATGTGGCTCTTTTCCTTGAAGTAAGTAGAAGGCGGAATAAAAGAAGGCAGTATGATCGGGTCTGATTATGATATTGCGGCATGTTGATTTTAGTACCCTACGAATCGTATACATACATGTATATGTATAATACCTACTTATACTTACGAGGACGAGGTTAGGACAAACGTGCTTACCTACCTACATACATACATACATATTAGGTCTACCGGAAAGTTTTGTCCGATAATGTCAATACGCATGAACGTGTTTTCTTTGAAACATATACGGCTGCCTCTTTTTACTACATATTGTACAGGGTGATTTTCTCGCTGCGCAAATCAAATCATTATATTGTTCAGTAAATATGTATAAAAATGTATTATTTTCTTTTAATTCAAAATATACATATACATATACATAGAGTATGCGCATGCACGCTCGCAGTGACAGGTTCTTGTTCATAATTCCTGTTCGCCCAATTCTTTCGTTTCGTCGATCGGCTCATACTTCCTTTCTTGCATCTCGTAGCCTCGTTCTAACCTATGGATTCACTTCCGTTTCCCTCGGGGTTTCCTTTTTTCGATTATAATTGAGCGAACAGTTCCCGAAAACCCACCACAAATCACGAATATTCCAATTATTCATCATTATTCGAATGAGACAACGTTTTAAGGTATACATATGTATATGTATTGTATATGTAGGCAATATACGTACTGGTACCGGCATAAATCGCCGCCTCAGACGCCCCAGCCTTCGTTATTTCTTCCCGTCCATAACGTTTCCAGGATACTACAAGTGCCAATTACAGAAACTTTAACACTCTTCGATCAAATAATATCTTCGCCTCCATGAATTTCGATAATATCGCGTCGAAGATGTGTAGAGAGGAAAGAAATAGTCGAAGGTCAAGAGTTCGATAAGCGAACGGGGCACGTTTGTCTCGCGTGACCGTTTGAATATAAGACACTCACGAGAGTGGTTTTGCTTGAAAATGAAGAAAAATCAGCAAATATAGTTGTGTCCATAATCCAATCGAAATATCACCGATCGAGAAACGCTAAAAAAATAAACGTTTCATTGTCAGGTATCGCCGATTGGAGAATGTGTCGACAAACTTCGAATCATTTGACCGGATTTAGTCCTGCTGCCTGCTTCACCTTTTATCTGTCGGACGAAATGGAATTTGTGGATGTGACTTCGGCAGAATTTTGGTTCTACAAGGAACACGACGAAAACGACGATCTAAATCAAACGTTTGTACTCTCCGAGCTCGATCATTGGGACCTAGGTGGCAACTTCGAAAAAAATACCATAGTGGCAATTTTCGAAACCGATATCGGAGGTAAGTCGGTCAGAAGATTTCCAATCTTTTTAAACAATTTTCAATCCTTCGTTAGACAAAATATTCGCATAGGTACATATTAGAATCTGGCGCAGCGCTGACGAATCAAATCTTCCACGAATCCTGAAAATTGATCGACTCAAAACTTTCATCGAGTTGAAACGAAACGAAGCAAGAATTTAATGTTTTCCTCATCTATCTGTTTCTATGAGTCTGCATTCCGTTCCCAAGACTCGGAAACTTCCTGCCGAAAACAGTTGCTCGTATGATTTCATCTGATAATTTTGATCGTCGCATACTTATCGCCATTTAATTCCGGAAATGAAATTGGACGACTTTTGGAAACTGTGGCCGATAATACATACCTATAGAGGCCGGGAGATGGGCAGAAGATGCAGGAAAAAACAAAACTTGTAGACGCGCTGGAAGAATTTCCCGAAATAAGACTCGCGCAAAAAGTCGGCACAGAATACGAGCTTGAATTACGAGAATAACGCAGATTACAAAAGTTCTTTTTGCGGTAAAATCACCAAATAGGAAAATCATAGTCTTTTCGGGGTCTGTTAAACAGTGATTTATGTATATTTGAAAGCATTTCGATCGATATTTGAAAGAACGTGAACCATCGCGATTCAAGACCGCACAAACGAGCGGTTAACGTAGCTGATTCAAGAACATATATGTAATAATATTGAATAATCTCGCGTCGGCATCGCGTCGTTCTATCGTCAGTTATCGCCAGAGTAGGTATACTTACATACAATTCGTATGCAATCAAGTAAAGCCTGAAGTTTGTAGGCCGTAGACATTTTTCTACTTGAAACCTGAATATTGAAAATCTTATAGGCGTTGTGGGTTGTCGGGCATCGATAGAAATGCGGTTTATAATATTATAATTGCAATTGCTATTGCAATAAAGAAAATTGTATTATTTCAGAGGGTTGGGTAAAGGCAGACGTAAGTTTCATGGTGAAGAAATGGGTGGAGGAGCTTCACTTGAATCAAGCGATACAAATAGCTTGTAGTACCTGTTCGATCGACCGTGTTACGGCACCCGTGTCCATCGAGCAACTTATGAAACCTTTTCTCGTGATACACACGTCGCCGTTACCACAAAAAAACAGACCAAAGAGGGACTCAAACTGCCTTCCAGAAATGAAAGAATGTTGTAGGGATGAGCTTTATATTAATTTCGAAGATATCGGTTGGAGTGACTGGATTCTCCATCCTAGCGGATATCACGCCTACTTTTGTCGTGGGTCTTGTTCATCCGCAGCTTCGTTGACAACTAGCGGTTCCGCGCACAACAACGTGATCTGGGTGAGTATCGCACTGGCGAGCCTCGCAACGTAAGCAACCGTTACGCATTTTTGCATCTTATATACTTACATTCAAATTTTCTTCATGTCGAAGAAATTTCGTTGTTTCGTAAAACGGTTTATCATTTTGCGCTAGCAAACTGAATAATAAATCACACCGAACGATCGTGTTAACCTCACGAACATTAATGGCCTATAAATAAAACCCAGCAACCAGTGCGTTTGGTCTTGTCTCGTCTTACTCTGTACCACCACGAGTACTCGAGCATTTGGACGCGTTAAAAGAAGAAAATAAACGAATAATACCGTGCTTTCTTCCAGAGGTGGTTCGATAAAGTGGGTAACACGGCTCATCGTAAAAGTCAGATCGTTCCATGCTGCTCACCAACGCAGCTCTCACCAATCCAGTTACTCTACGTTGATTCAAACAATACGATCACGCAAAAAACACTGCCTAATATGGTAGTCGAAGCTTGCGGTTGCATGTGATATTCGCAAGAAAATTTGTCTGGCTCCATGCAGTCTCGTCCAAAAACTTGGCAGTTTGAATTCGAATGTACGCGCGCGTATACGATATAGGTACGTATATGTATGTACCTACATAGGTGTGCATTTCTACTACATATCTCAGACGTTCAACACGGATAAATGTTATCGCTACAACGAGATCGCTTAATACAAACGAACTAACTCCTGCGTACATGGATCAACGTTTCATTGTACTTTGCAAAGTACTTGTTTCAATTTTCAATCGTGAGAAAACGTTTAACGATTAAATAGGCTGAGCCGCAAATATCAAGATTTCTCCAAATTTCCGAGAAAACACGTCTTTGTATGATGTCCTCCGTGAATAGCGATATAAGCTGAATACGGAGTCACGTGACACCGATTAAAAATGTTGCATCCCATCGTTTGCACAACACACGTATACTTATGCCAGTTGTAAACGAGTGAAACAGTATTTCTTTTTTCTAACGTCACCATTTACCGTACCACTTATGTATGTATGTATGTATGTATGTATGTATGTATGTATGTATGTATGTATGTATGTATGTATGTATGTATGTATGTATGTATGTATGTATGTATGTATGTATGTATGTATGTATGTATGTATGTATGTATGTATGTATGTATGTATGTATGTATGTATGTATGTATGTATGTATGTATGTATGTATGTATGTATGTATGTATGTATGTATGTATGTATGTATGTATGCATGCATGCATGTATGTATGTATGTATGCATGCATGCATGCATGTATGTATGTATGTATGTATGTATATTGTACGGACGATTCCGAACATTTAAATTGATTTTCTCTTTTTCAGTTCATCGATACATTAGTACAAGAGTTATTGCGTTTATCGATAGAAATTATTTATTATATTAAATAATATGTATTCATTAGAAAAACATATTCGAGTCAATGAACCGACCAAACGAGACTTTGTTGCTTTCGATTGTTGTACGTTGTACGTCATTTGTTGCTCGTCGTTTCTTCCGAATGCAAGTGTTGTCCAAAAAAACCGAATAACGTCGGATTTTCAAGAAACATAATCACCGACGGAAAACAAGAGAACGGGCGTGAAAGCGGAAATGGAAACAGAAACAATAACGAGGAATCGAGAATACAAATATTTCTGCGGCCGTTCGAGAACCTGAGAAAAAGCTAATTCCAGAAAACATGAGAAAAGAAAATCTTTCTGCGAGGAGATGCTGTAGATACACGAATACAGGATAGCCACAATCCACGATAGAATGTTAACGGATGACTAGCGGTCGACTCTACGTGCATATGTACATATGTATGTACTTTACAATTGTAACGATAGAAAACTCATATAAATATGTTTTGCATACGTACGTCCCGCAAACCAAACATGCGGTACCGATATACATATACATATACATATATAAGTGCTCTCGGGTGTTTCGTTATAGTTTCGTTTACACGTGTTTCCGTTTTCCTTTTGGTCCTACTTCACTAAAACAAACCAAAAAAACATCCAAGACTGATTGAAACCACGTAAACTCGAGAACGGATGCGATAGCAAAAACGAAAATGAAAACGAGAACCAAACCAAGCTGGTGGAATGCGCGATTTTAACGTGTTGCTCCAAAGTCCGTCGATTATTTTAATTAAGCTGAAGATTGTATTTGAAAATGAGAACAATGGATTAATTGTTGGCTGTGCTTTGACACACACGTGTGTATATGTATAACTCACGATGTTGGCCTATCGTCGTCTAATGTAGTGTCTGACCTCTTCTGATATAATCCGCGAACTATTCGTGATCCTGTTCACAAAGCATTAATATTCACTTACGAACACCGCTTTCTTTTCCGTTCTTTGGAACGATCAGAAAAATCAGTGTTATCTAAACCTTACCCACGAGTAAACTAGGCTTCTTTTCTTACTATCCTCCCCTTGGCAAGGAAATCAAAATGGCAAATATGACCCTATTAACCGCCAACTGGGTCGAATATAGAAATCTTTAAATTCTTTATCTCGTAACATAGATGAGATACACTACCGAACAAAATACAGTACTTATAATGTAACGCGATAGTTGTCCATCCCATCACCACCTTCAAGGAAACGTTATAAAAGACAACATAGGTAAATAGGTATCCGTCTATAGTCTATCTATAGATATGCTTTGATCGTCTGTTACGCGGCGGATCGCAGAATTAGATGTACACTCACGAGCAAACTCGATTTCCACTAGGGGAAAAAGTAACATGGACGAAGGGGCCTTATACCATGCTCCTACCATTTGGTATTGGGAATTACTGAAATTTATGCCAAATTAACATCCGACGTAACATCTATTTCAGTATCTGAAATCAATTTATCAAGTGGTAGGAGGCCCTTCCCTTACGCCAATTTTTCACCTAGCGGAAGCCGAGTTTACTCGTCGGTGTACATATACATATAGCTATTATACATACATACATACATACATACACACATACATACATTGTACATATGTACATATGTATTGTTCTGAATGTAAGGAACTCGTCTGAATTTTTCAATTATAATTTATACAAAATTATGCAACGCATACATATATGTAATACAATACAAAGTTGTCACTTTGTTACACTTCAAAAGATGAAAGAAATTTTTCGATACAGCACTAGACGCAGAAAATTATACACCAGTAATTACATTTACGCGAAAGTGATGAGTAGAAGCATGAATAGAATATTAGGAAAGAAATGTCCATAAAATACAAATAATATTTATTTGGTTATCGATATTGCATCGTTTCACGCCAAATTGATTACTTTTTGGACGTGGCGTCAGGGATTCTTCTGACATTAAACTATGATGTACAATTTGTAAAGTATGTAGATATACATAGAAGTCATGAAGAATGATATTGCGTAATCGTTTTGCTCCTTTCGAAGTTATTTAAGAAATATGAAACATCGAAGGTTTGCGATTTTCGCCCATTTTCATGGGTACAGGATACAAGAAACAATTTTTATATTCAAAACTATTTATTGTACAGTGTCTTCTTTTCTTTTACTTTACTTGTAACTTATTGACCCTTTTGAATCGATTTTTTTCCGGTTGAAAATTTATTTTCGCAATACGAAAATGGTAAACCAATTTTTGGTTAGTCTTGGTCAGTCTACTGGTTCAAAATATAATCAGATTCCTTCAAGTATTCCTGAATAACAAAGTAAAGACAGCGTTCATTACTAATGTAACAATTAATTATTGCCTCGCGGCTTAAGATATCTGCTAGCGCTGTACAAGCTACATTATTTGAATCAAATCCATAAATGGAACTACATAGCACTCAAAGCCATTTCCATTGTCGTTTCTGAGGGTTCTAGGACCCCCATTAACAAACTACTTAACACAGTACATCTCACACACATGGGCTCTCTTACGCATGCTTCGGGGGTTCTATGACCCCACTTACCAAGCTCATACTACCCCAGACGAGATATTAGAATAGACCTAACATCTTATCGTCTGTGACAGCACGGGGTCTCTTACGCATGCTCTGAAGGTTCTATGATCCCGCTGACCAAGCTACTCACAGTACACCCACGAGCAAACTCGGTTTCTGTTAAGGGAAAAAGTGACGTAGGTGAAGGGCCTCCTACTATGCTCCTTCCTCTGGGTATTTGGAATTTGATTAACATTAATTTCAGTATCTGGAATAAATTTACCAAGTGGTAGGAGACCCTTTTCCCACGTTACTTTTTCCCCTAGTGGAAGCCGAGTTTGCTCATGGGTGTACATCTCACACACACGGGGTCTCGCAATCGGAGGTATCCATACCAAAAGTACTCGGTATCGAAACTAAAATATCGAATAATGTACTCGTATTTACTTGTATCGATTCATCCTGTCTTGAATATCAAGGTTAAGAAAATATAATTCGATACAAATAGGTATCGATACCGAGTAAGTATCAATACCTTCATACGATACTAGTAATGAGTAAAAGTATCGATACAACCCTACCCGTCCTACCTTGGAGAATAGAGATGGCGTGAACTGCTACTTGTGAATCACTCGTGATTCGATCACGTTCGTTCTCAATCACGGTAATTTTTCACAGTGATTCGTGATTTCTCGCGATCGTTTCTGATTGGGGGAGAAACCTAACAGTTCTTTACACGCGACACATAATCTGTATATTTTATATTTTATATTAACGACATCAAAACAAAAATTCGAGTTATATCGTATAAAGTGAAAGAATAATTAGAAACAATGAAGAATAATGAATAAATTAATGATTATAAATTATAATCTACATGTTACCTAGCAAATCATTCTTTTAGAATTTCTTGTTTTTTCTACTGATTTTTACAACACACAGTAATGTAATTCATCGTAGAATCATATTGAATACGTTTTTCTGTTTAAAGATTAATGACTTACGATTGCAGTGAGCAAATTCACTCAAGATAAAAAAATCGCAATCACGGTCGTGAATGAAGTTAAATCACGATCGTGATCGTGATTTGGCGATCACTGTGATAAATCACCGTTAGTGATTTTGCACGCCATCTCTAGTAGGCAGTAGTTAGAGGAGAACAATGTGACGGATCAGTGACGGATAGTCGTGTAAATTTGACGATAGGGTTTGATTGGATTCGTATCGCTCTATCGAGTCAACTTACTTGCAATATCCATGGTTCACGTTTGTTTATGTATGTACTTTGATACGCGATTGTGAGTGACTTACGAATACCGAAGTGTTAATGAAACGTTGATGCGTACAATGTCTTGAACCTGCTTGCGATAAAACCCATTTCGGGGTGAAAATCAATTTCCATTATTACCTACCTAGATTTTCGCTACTGACTTGGTTGCACTCAGTTTGACTTCGACCGAGTAGTGTGTATTCAAGATGTTGTCAGAGGTCGATGTGTTTATAAGTAATTACACGCTCGTCGATTCTGAGATATATCAACTTTGGGTCGACGGTCATTCTTGTGAGTTTGTTAATTAAAATGATCTAGTTTATTCATTCTAATTTGGGACCTGAACATACTTGACATACTTGTCCACGGTGCCTGTTGGTTTCATTACATCGAACGATTTATTGATTTAGCGAGCGATGCGGTCAACATTTTGCATCAGAGGGGTATATGTCATCAAACAAATGCTCCGATTGAATTAGTCGCTTCGGATATTCTCGATCACTATCGAACTTACGCCCTTTTGGAAAAACTACTTCATACTCCTACCAAATTAGCGAGCGAACAGCTTGCGTTCCAAATAGAACCCCAAACTAGTCAGATGCTTATCGAAATGTATGGAAACATTTCTCTTAAAAACATTATTTAAATCCTTATAATGCATACTTTTCTGATATTTTCAATCGTTATCTATAGGTACTACGAGTTCGACGACATTGTTATCAGAGAACTGTTAGGTAAGAAATTAACCTCGAAAAGTAGAAAAGATATGGATGAAGTGTCGGAAAAGACTGGTATCACATTAAAGAGCTGTCGCCGACAGTACGACAACGTGAAAAGAGTATTTAAGATTGTTGAAGATTTGCCAGGTTCCTTGACAACCAATATCGAGCAACACTTCTTACTTTCCGAAGATCTTGCCAAGTAACGCAGAAAAAAAAATCATTAACGTCCACGTTCTTTATGATCCTATAAGTCATGTTAATACTTACGATCGCAACAGGCGATACGCGGCAGTGGTGTTCATATCATGTCTTCGATTTGAGACAAACAAAAGAAAACTACACTTCCTAACGTTCCCAGATTTATACCATTGCGCCAACAGTATGATGTCTCTATGGACATATCGTTGCGTTGGTTCTGAATACTTTGATACAGACTTAGACAGAGAGTTTTTATTAGAGCTGGCAGAGTGTAGAGTACTTTTAGAAAATGATAAACATCACAAACAGTAGGTCTTTTATTTATCAAAACATTTATCACATTGAAATTCCTTGAAAATGTCTTGTTACCTACAAAATTTACTTACAGTCTAGTATGCATCAAACTTAAACCTATGCTTCTGGAACGTTCCTATCAAGAAGTAGACACCAATTTTCGTTCATATTCCAGAGCGATATTAGGAATTGGATGTAATCTTCATCGTTCCAGAGATCTAAGGTTCTTTTTTTTAGAATTAGTAGAAAGGTGCATAGAACCATGGCGCCAAGTCAATTGGAGTCACACGGATCTCAGAAACTTTTTAACAGTTTATGCTCAGTGCGCGTTAGACATGGATGTACTCAGGTGAAGAAGAAACCGAATAAATGTATATCAGTGATATGTTCCATCGGAATAAAGTATTTCCTCTTTCAGAGACAGCGAATTAAGGGATGCTTTCGACCGCTACATGACTGTCGTGACATGTTGTTTATTACGTATGTATCATACGTGACTATTGGTGCAAGAAAATGATACCACACAAAAATTAAGTACAGTTACCAGTGATAGCAGTTAGAAATTGTTGGAGATGAAAGAATATAAACAAATTGTATGTACATTGCAATTTATTAAGTTTCAGTAATAAATAATTAAACAAATGCAGCGTTTAGACGCTCATTTAGTGTATGCCAATGACCCACGGTGTTTTACTTTTACAAACGGTATGGCATCGTCTAGTACGTTCAGCGAATTGTCTACCAATAAATTTAAAAGCTGGAAGAGTAACTGTTGATAATAATTTGTATGTACACGCGTGATAAAATAAGCTGACACATCGCGACTCGACACGAAAAGCAAAAATTGATTTGTTCTAACCATAAAAACGTTGAAAGTATTTGTTAAATTAGTTGAACACTATCGTGGTATTATCGTACGATATCAATATTCAACCATAGGTACTGCTCGTGTATCATGTATGTAAAATGTATATATATATATATATATGTATACAGATGCATACATGTAAACGCGCTTGTACGTACTAAAGCAATAAACAAACAAACGAATTGCTTTTTACATGTCGAATGTTTGGGAATTGCTTAAACATAAACTTCCAAAAGTTTCCTCGTTATCGTTAAAGTTTGTACTTACTCTCCACTACCTTACTCCCTTTATCTACGAAGGACACAAAAGGATGCAAGGTATTTGAGAAATTTGAGGGAAAGAAAAAAATGGGGGGGGGGGGGGGTTTGGAATTTTACCTAAAACACTGTAAAAACAGTTACTCTACCAAGCCGAGTACTTTATTTACGGCGTAGACTATGTCGCTCATTTTTGGCAGAGCAGCAATTTCTAATGATTTCGTATAAGGCATAGGCGTATCGACTCCTGTGATACGAATTACTGGGGCATCAAGATGATAGAATGCTTCGCCTAAAATTGGAAACGTTAATAGTTATTGGAAACCAGAAAGTAACGAATATTTCAATTTCTTCATCGAAATCTTAATCAAATCGGGATAACGTACTTTCAGAGATTCTTGCGCTAACTTCTGCTCCGATACCGCAATGTGGCCAACCCTGTTCCACAGTTAAAATGTGATTCGTCTTTGCTACTGATTGTACGATCGTGTTTATATCCAACGGTCTCAAAGACCTGAGATTTATTACTTCCGCCTCTATTCCTTTTCCTGCAAGTTCGTTTGCTGCTTCAAGAGCCTGCTCGACGGCCTTGGAATGTGCTACCAATGTAACGTGTTTGCCGACGCGTTCGATTTTTGCTTTACCGATAGGCAAAACGAAATCTTTTGCCAGAGCTTCGTCCGACATAGGATACTGAACACCATATAAAATTTCATTCTCTAATACAACGACAGGGTCGGGATCTCGAATAGCAGCTTTTAACAAGCCTTTGGCATCTTCACTATTATAAGGAGATACTACTTTCAAACCAGGACAGTGGCTGTACCAGGCTCCAAAACATTGAGAATGCTGCGCTGCCACACCAGCTGCTGCTCCATTTGGTCCACGAAATACAACTGGTACATTTACTCTACCAGCGGACATGTAAAAAGTCTTAGCCGCAGAATTGATAATCTGATCGATTGCTTGCATTGAGAAATTAAATGTCATGAACTCACAGACCGGACGTAGACCAGCCTAGAAAATGGGTTATACAAGGAATACTAGTATGAAAAATAAAGAAGTTGTGTAAAAAGTCTTAACAAAGTGCACAATGTTACTTTATGGTATAAAGAATGGAATCTAGCTTACCATAGCAGCACCCACAGCAATGCCAGCAAATCCTGCTTCTGTGATAGGAGTATCTATGACACGTTTATCTCCATACTTTTTCCAAAGACCCCTAGAAACTTTGTATGCACCATCATACATAGCTACCTCTTCCCCGAGTATAAAAACTTTTTCGTCTCTTTCCATTTCTTCGTCTAAAGCAGAGTTCAAAGCATCTCGTACAGTCATCTGTGGAAGCAGATCGCGACGAAGATACACTTAAATGGTCATCATTATATTTCCCGTTTCATGATGATAAGTAATGTCAGAAGAAAAAACTCTAATCGCATATTTTAATTTTGAGAAGACACCACGGAATCATCGACACTGAATACGAATGACCTTTGTTGCCCTTGAACGTGTAATGCAATCAATTTGACGTTCATTCGATGTTAATTCAGCGAATGAATAAAAAAAAATGTCGTTACTCGTCTGACAGAATCGATAAAAAATATAAGAGAAAAGAATTGATTTCATATTGAAAAGTCGGTACGGTTGTGGGAAGACAATCGTGCGCTAGAAAATTATAGTGTCAGAGCGACAAGGTTATGTTTGAAGGCAGAAGTAGAAAATATTAAATCCAGCGTGATCGCAGAATCTCACCTGCTGCGCGGCAGTCCATTTTGACGTTGAAAACGAACGTCGGGTAATACTTCTCACTGCAGACTAAAAACAGTTGAAACAGATCAAAAGCATGCTTCGTTTATGCATTAAAATTCGAACGTCAAATGTTTTCAAGAATTCGGTTTGAGTCTGCAATTTCAATAGGCGTTAATATACCTACTCACCGAAAACATGATGAGCCGTATGCCGTTCGAATAATCGTCGAACGTGTAATCGGTTTAATCGATCGAATATACTTTTGCTCGTAACTCGCTGGTACCTACTACTGCCAAGAGCTCTGTTTCAAAATTCTTTCGCCGCGATGTACACCACGGACCGAACGCGGAACGACAGAGCCAGAGAAGCTCAAGGTCGATAGACAAACTCTTATGAAACACCTTTGCCCTCGATTTGTAATATCTATACACTTACTCTATACCCTACGATTAATCAGGAACAAGATCATCAGGCATTAACGCAATTTCATTGATTTTTATTTCATAGGTATTCCATTGTCGTTGTCTTTCACACGTGTCATAGAGAGAGCCTTAAAATTTCTTTACAATCATTTACAGTTCGCTACTGATTCGTTACCTTTGTTGGTTGTGTGATACCGATAATGCGGCTGAAGAGCCACTTTTCCCAGCCAATCGTACACGCACGAGTCGATTATCCAACCAATTGTGATATATAGAAAGTGTTTAATAAGATTTAGGAGTAACGAACTGCAGACTAAATGGTGCACGTTCGGGGTCGATTTCGAACAGTTTTTCAAAAATTTTTGTACAGGTACAAAAATATTTCGTTTTGCTTTATTTTTATTTCTTGGGCTTTGTAGAAACAGTGGAAGCGTATACGAGTATATAAATTCTAGCGCAACTAATAAAATATACGTGTAGCATATTTAATTGAAGTGTTTATAATGGATGGAAAATTTGGATGGAAAATTTGAACACTTTTAGTCACTCAAACAATATTAGTGTACTGCAACGATTTTTTCTTTTAAGTAACGTCTTGCATTGCATCATTGTCATGGTGGTATTAAAGGGTATCCGAAAACGTTCGTTTTCAAAGTATAGTTTAGCGTGTCATATTAATGTATGTGTATATGATCAACATTTTGACGATTTTGACGATTTTAACCGAATGCCGTGCACGTAATTCTCATATGAAACGAACAAATACATACTTCGTTGCTATATTATGGAAGCCTGTAATAATTTTCGTGAGAATTCCATTACCTTTGAACGAATTTGACAATACAAGATAAAAAGATTTCATGCGTATCGATCGCTAATTGTAAATAAATTATCACGATGATAGTTCGAAAAGTAAATGGTTTCAAACAGACTCTAATATTACAATCTACTTTGTTTCATCGTATAAAATTCGTATTCAATGACTCAAGAAACCTTTTTGAAAGAGTTTTTAAGGGCGTTTGAGAGTCGGGCAATAGGTGATCTGATGAGTAATCTGTCGCTAGTGTATTATGAACAGGTAACTTGTACATAACTTATTGTACCTACTGCATCATCACATTAATACAAGTATAGTCATATGTGCTATCTGGCATCCTACAATATCGAAAATAAAATTTAGTTGAATAGAACAAATGGGAATAATTTAGAAATCAGAGTAAGACGCGGTAAAAGGAGAGCAAATAAACCTAAGTGTGCTGATGATTTTGGTTACAGTTTTTATCTGCACTTTTATTGTTATAGTAACACCTAGTAATATATGAAATCGTTATATTTTGACAATTATTATAATTCACGAAGACTTCCTATTTTCTATAAATGTAATTGACATGCTCGAAGAGAAGTAGGTAGAACATGCACTTCTACAACACAAAATCGTTAATAATAAGATAATAGAGAAATGAAATATTTTCTATTCAATGAGTGAAGTTCAATCAAGGGAACTTGATGTTCAAAGTTAATTTTTGAGCTAATGTAAAAGTAAAAATTGCTGATGATCTGCCCAAAAGAAAACATAAACCAAGAATGGCGGTAGATTGTACTATGTGTGAATATCCTTGCATCCTGATGGGAGCTTTAAGATCTTGGTATCGGCATCAGACACGGCCGCCGTCTGCTTCTTGACCGATAGGTATGGTGGTATGACTCCGACTCATTGTCAAACGATCGTGGGTTATGATCGAATGGAACAAGGAATGGTTCTTTTTAGGCAGCCATTTCACGGATGAAACGTCGTAACTCGTGCCTTGTTACGTTTTCATTTTGTTGGTTTCGATATCTCGAACAAGGTGTTGAACAATGATGAATCGCGTGGACAATGCAATGTTGATTGGATAGTCGTGAATAACAGTGAAATTAGTGAAAGTATTGAAAACCATCTTGGTTATCATCGATAATATGTACTTGGATGAGTAAGCTTATAATATTCATGAACATATTTAACGAGTTCGAATATCAATTTCGATTTTCAAATAATTTTTAGTAAGCTTTACGTATGCACGATGCAAAACGAAGTTACATTCTAAAAGGGGAAAAAATCGTAATTTCGTGACGAAACTATAAAAATACAATATGTATGTATGTATGTATGTATGTATGTATGGATGTCGATGAATATTATCGGTGGGTCAGTAACGGAACACCCGATCCGATTATGAAAGTAGTTGAAAAATTCTCGAAACAAAAAGACGAGATACCAACATTAGCATATTGTTTATTTACAAAAAGTATTCACTTTTGATACAATGATAATGCAATGTGAAAATGCGTGTTGCGTGCGTGCATGAGAATTGCTTTTATAGAAAATGCACACGTAGCTAACATTCATACGAGAGTATTCTACGCGAAGACACTTGCGTTGTAGGGTTTATGACTAGAACTTTGACTCTGAATCGAAATATAAGTACGAACCGCTAGTAATCGAAGAAAATGATGCTCGATGATACGATCGTAAGGGGAATAAATGACTACGCGACACCGCGTCTATGCATAAATTCCTTAAGAAGGAAATTAAATCTAGGTATACGTTCTGAATGGTGTTTCATTTTTGTCGGACTTTTTATTAACGAGAGAACAACAATTGCATAGAACTTTATTCAAATAAAATACTGGCTAGAGTTAAAGGCCCTCTCCTTCTTCGATAATTAAACTTTATTAAAGATAACGCAATGGGGGTCGAGCGATACAAAAATACGGAGAGAGTCCAAGGTTGGATCGCGAGCCTCTAAGCTCTCTGTTTCTGCCTCGTAATTATATTTGTATTTGTATTTGCATCTGCAACGCCATCTGCAACTCCATCTGCATCTGCATCTGCATCTGTATCTGTATCTGTATCTGTATCTGTATCTGTATCTGTATCTGTATCTGTATCTGTATCTGTATCTGTATCTGTATCTGTATCTGTATCTGTATCTGTATCTGTATCTGTATCTGTATCTGTATCTGTATCTGTATCTGTATCTGTATCTGTATCTGTATCTGTATCTGTATCTGTATCTGTATCTGTATCTGTATCTGTATCTGTATCTGTATCTGTATCTGTATCTGTATCTGTATCTGCATCTGCATCTGTATCTGTATCTGTATCTGTATCTGTATCTGTATGTGTATCTGTATCTGTATCTGTATGTGTACTTTTATCCTTGCGTGTGTTAACAATCGCGTATGGAGCTATACTAGAGTGTTGTGTATGCATGTGTTTGTGTGTGCGTGTACATACGTGTGCGGCTCTAGGAAACGGGAAGAACAAGAACAAGGAGAAAGAGGAGTGAGAGAAACCAAAACTCATCAGGAGAGGTAATTGTTGTAAATTCAGAAAGAAGGAAAGTGAGTGAAGGGAAGAGAGGAGGCTAACTCCATAAAGTGTGGATGTGCAAGAGTACTATCATCGGAGCAAACAGAGACCCTTTCATAGTCTTTCTAGTCTAATTAATAAGAGATTACTAAAAAATTAATAATAATAACAATAATAATAGTGAGAATAAGAGTAAAGTGGAGTGAGAGTGGGACTGAGAGCGAGTGTGAGAGTGAGAAAAAGAGTAAGGGTAAGGGTAAGGGTAAGGGTAAGAGTAAGGGTAAGGGTAAGGGTAAGAGTAAGGGCAAGGGTAAGGGTAAGGGTAAGGGTAAGGGTAAGGGTAAGGGTAAGGGTAAGGGTAAGGGTAAGGGTAAGGGTAAGAGTAAGGATAAAAGCAAGGGTAAGAGTAAGAGTAAGAGTAAGAGTAAGAGTAAGAGTAAGAGTAAGAGTAAGAGTAAGAGTAAGAGTAAGAGTAAGAGTAAGAGAAAGAGTAAGAGTAAGAGTAATAGTAAGAGTCAGAATGAAAGTCAGAGTAAGAATAAAAGTAATAGTAAGTATAAGAACAAGAATAAGAAAAAATAATAATAATAATAATAATAATAATAATAATAGTAGATAATAGTAATGGTAACAACTGTAGTACCGTTAACATCGGCTGTAAATACGCTACAACGATTTAACTTTTGTTTTGATAACACTTCACTACTCTTGGTTGTACATCTTTCTTTCTATTCTGTTCGGGGTCAAAAGATGCCCTCGTTTAAAGTTTAACGTCGAAAAACGTTGACGCTGCTTTGCGATGAAATTATAAAGTTAATATTGTTGAAGGCCTCGAATAATTCCTTTCGAAGTTTTCTTTTGGGCCGTTAATCGCCAAGGGGCGCATCCAATGATCGGATCTAATTGTAAGAGAAGGAATACATTTCAGCAAGATTGAAATTTTCCTCCGTCGCGCTAAAAGTAGCATCTAGGTACGCGCGCGCTACAAAACTTACACCAGCGAGTAGAATCGTTCTTACTTTTCGTTCAGTTCCGTCTCATCGATATTTTCGAATTACAGCAAACGAGCAACAACACTTATGGATTTACGTAATACATATGCCTATACGAAGGCTATACGAAAGGCATTTCTGATATGAAAGAACAAATTGTAACTGATGCGCGCGTTGTCTGAAATGTTCATGTCGAGCCGTATCGTTAGTTATACGTATGCGTACGTGAAAAGAATTTCTGCCGAAACCAATTTAAGAGATTTTTTCTACGAGTTAGATCGAATTGAAGAGAATTCGTTTAACGGATTGCTTCTAAACCGATGGGGCGGAGCATCAGTTTGCAATCATATATATGCATAATACACTTGGACACATTACGTGACGCGCGCAATCGCGTTTCAACCTGTTAGTTTACACGATATAAAAATCTCCTTTACTCGTATCCTTTTCACTAAAGTATGTACAAACAAACTGTGATCGATAATTGTGTTCGAATGTAGTACACGTTCTTCGTTTCCCAGCGAAAGAATACAACATACTACATACATATGTATACCTGCTCGAATGTTGCGCGTCCGTTTCATTAATAGATTAATATATTCGGTAACGACCATTTTTATCGCCTCGTGTGCCGAACAGAAACAAAACGACCAAATATGCGTAAACCAGAAAAAATACAATCTTTTATACTTTTACTGTTTCGTTCGTTCGTTCGTTCGTTCGTTCGTTCGTTCGTTCGTTCGTTCGTTCGTTCGTTCGTTCGTTCAACCTTAAGATCGAACTTTCGTTCATCCATTCGTTTATTCGTTCCGTTTATTCGGCGTTGCGAGGCGTTTTTCCCGTGTAAGTTAAGCCTTCTGTAACAATGAAATTACTCGTTAGGAAATTTGAGGCAGGCAAGATATTCAGAGAGCCAGACAGTCGATGCGACGTTAGTGACGAACACGAGTCGTTACGTTTCACTCGATCGCGCGATTTATAGCTTTTACATTTTCAATTCAATCGACAGTGATTGATACCGCGAAATGATGGACGTACCGATTAAAACTACCTCCTCTATGCATTGTTTCGCATCAAACACCTACAAGAATCGATGAAATTCTAGGATGGAAAAGTGAGACGATTTTTGCTTTTTAATGATTTCGGTACATGTCTGTGCGTGTTCTATTATTTGAAGAAAAAGCTAATCAGTGTTTGATATGGTTACGGGTATACATATACGTATACTGATATAGAGATACGAATAAGAATTAGAAACAAGTCCGTAATGTATACAGGTATACAAAACTCAAGATACATGTATATGGAAATAGATATGTATCGCAGAGACTGCAAAACATACGAGTATCTTTGTAAAAAAAATGTCTTGTCTTAGGTCTTAAATGATCCAGAAAAGTATTAACACGTTCACTGTCGCCGTAACAGCGTATAGTGCTTCTTCAGGTGCCACATATCCAGTGATGCACGTGGCATAGAAGTAAAAATTCAGTATACTTCATCGGTGATGCACATGGCAGTGAAAGTGTTATATGTATGTATAATTTCGTTCGATATGGCCCGTCTTGCAATTGAAATGCGATATCTGTCTGCAATCGCACGAATGCGGAACGTTTCGTCGTTGCGTTTCACAAGTTTACGGTTACGTGTATAACGTACCTACAAGTAGACACAGTTCAAAGGACAATGCGTGGATGGAGATTTCTACGATCGAAAGAAACGTTGCTTTCCGTTGTAAACGCATAGGAACGTGTACCTTCTTCGACGTCGCATCGTTTGTATTTACGGCAGCTCTCATTTCGATAATCGATTGAGAAAAAATAACAACGATCCGAAACAAAAAATGAAATGGTTCTTATTATGGTCGAACGATCAAACGAATTTTTTTTCGAAGACTGCATAGAATCGACGGAAAGTCTGACACGAAAACGCGCGCCTGTTCCGAAGCGAAAAAATATTCTTTCGATCGAACCTACTAAACAACAATTATTCTTCTACGACGAATCGCGGTTCGGACAAATCCTTAAAACGTACTGTAATTAGTCCCGTCATGGGAATTATTTCTCTCTCTCTCTCTCTCTCTCTCTCTCTCTCTCTCTCTCTCTCTCTCTCTCTCTCTCTCTCTCTCTCGCTCTCTCGCGCGCGCACACACACACACACACACACACACACACACACACACACACACACACACACACACACACACACACACACACACACACACACACACACACACACACACACACACACACACACACACACACACACACACACACACACACACACACACACACACACACACCTGCTTTCTCTCTATCTCGCTGTCTTTCTATCTCTTGGTATGTATGTACATATGTATAGCCAAAATGATTTACTAGTCGAACGCAGAATTATTATCAAAGTGCTAAAAATCATAATGGTAATGATAATGATGACGAAGATACTGACAATAGCGATAATAATAATATCTAGTAACAGTTCGAATCATAATAATTATGACAATGAACGTGATGTTAATAATATTAATAATGGTATTAGTAATGTTGATGGTGATGATAGTAATAATCGTTATGATACCGGCGGTACCGATAATGATGAACAAGAGGAAGAAGAAGAAGGAGAAGAAGAAGAAAACGACGACGACGACGACGACGACGACGATGATGATGATGATGATGATGATGATGATGATGATGATAACAACAAGAATAATGGTAATAATAATTACAGTAATTAGAACCAACTGCCTCCACTGAATTTTGTAGAAAGACCACCGATGCCCTTGCCGAACATACTTCCAACCTTTCCAACAACATTCGATGTAACGTTGCTGATATTAGCCACATAATTTGCATCTTCACCGGCGACATTTTCGACGACCGTTACTTTTGTCTTCGGTCGGTCCTCCTCATCGTTACCATTCTCTGAAAGCCCCCTTTGAAAAGGGAGAAACAAAAATATGTTTAGAGTCTATGCAGGTCGAACTTGTTCGAATTTATACGAGCACGAAAAGTTTGGGCAGAGTTCGAGCTTGGCATGATATTCAAACCTGAGAAAGGTACGAAATCGTTTCAAGCAGCTGGACTCGATCAAACGATTCAAGTCAAGTGAGACGTTGGAACTTTTGAAGCAACTCAAGTCCGGGGGTCGTTTGCTAGCAGCATTTAAGATTGAGGGGCAACGAGGGTATCGATAACCGACTTGGAAGCGTCCGACGTCCATCGGACCGACAAGAGACCAACAACACCGATAATACCGACTCGAACGATTTGAAAAATGTTTGAAGGTCCGATTGGGTTCGAATCGCTCGATAAGCTCGTCGAGTAGCTTGAAAAATTTCAACTTTTTCCCGAATTCAAACGTCTCACCAGGTTCGATTCACTTGCGGACCTATCGCTACCAACGTGTACGTCTACACATACACATTTAGACCCCAGAGACAGAGTGTATCGAGTCCACTTGTTAAAAAGATGAGATTTTACATGTTTCCTGCATAAAATATTTCACTCTGTCTAATCGTGCTTCGATATAGGTACATAATAGTGGTAAAAATGATATTAAGTTGGTATTTTTAAAACAGTGTAAAAGTTCAACACATAGGGGAATTAATGCAAAGATCAGCATCTCTAAGTAGGTACATAATACATGTACGTATAGAGACTTGTCTTAAATCGATTGAATACTTCGAAGGTAGGGATTGTTTCTCACCGAGAAATTCTTAGCAAACGGTTCCAAAGTTACAAGAAGGTTTTAACAGCTTTGATTTGCTCTCCTCTAAAGTTTGAAAAGTGTGACTTAATACGACATTTTGGCTCTGGGATCTAGATATAGATATGTACGTATAAATGTATACATGTTTCTTTCAACACTCACTCTTCGTTCTGAGCGCTCATGGTTAAGGCACAAGTCGCTTCTTCCGTCTGCATTCTCTTAGCTATAACCTGATATGGCTCCGAATTAAGTTTCTCCTCCGTGACACCTTGCAGCTCGAAATCGGAGTAAATTTTTTTAACGATATGGGCGAGGCAGGTACACTGATATAAATGCAAGCTGCATTCGGGTCTCTCCATTAGCCAGTTGCAGAGCATTTGAATTTGTGAAGCGTACCATTGCTGTGAAAATGAAAGAAGAAGTTATTTAAAATAAAGAAGAATGTTTTCGGAGATAAGAGGAAAGGTTTATCCGCGAGGGGAGATCGGAGAGAAATGTAGCAGAATCGTATTGTCCCTTACTTCGAAACACGTCAGAATCCATAAATCGTCCAAAACTTTGCCCCGAACTTGATCCATACAGTTCCTCGTAAAACTTACGTAGGCTTGTCCCATTTCTTTTCCGCTTCCCGACACCTTCTGAAAGCAAAGATTTTTCAGCATTTCCCGGCAGATCGATTATCCGCGACATTCTGAGCAATGTTTTCTTGATGCCGTTTAAAGGAATAATCGATTACCGTGAAGCTAAGAATGGAACCTATAAAAGATCCCTCGTCGTAACGGGACAGTTTGGATAGTGTTGTTTCTAATACCGTAACGAGTTTATTGATCATTCCTTGAGTCATGGCCGCCGAGATCTTTTCGATCAAATCGTCGATTTTCGCGTGATAGTTGTGCTGGAAGCAAATGAAGAATATCCGAGTTGTTACATAGTGATTTCCTGTGGTTTTAGGTTCAAAGAAATTTTAAATCAACTAACTCACCACATCGACACCATCGATGGTGCAAAGATAAAAGTTTTGCTTTTTTGCATCCAAAATAACATTAACCATCGCACACATTTCCGATGGAATAATGTAATCCGTGGAGGTGAAGGTTACGCCTTTCTTCAACCATTGCTGAAAAGCCGTGTCTGTGCGTTGAATGCAAGATTCGATCATGTCACAAGCCATCAACGTCAGCCTCTGTTCCAAATGTTGACGAAACTCTTGATCCGGCCAGTGGAGATCACGAATAAACGATTGTAGAGCATCCAATTTCCAAAACAGCTCCTCCGAGGTAGCGCACCCATTCCCTTTTATTTCCCAGCGTTCCTTTTCAAATCCTTTTTGAATCGACTGAGCGATCGACGTTTCCATCAAGTCCACGTAACGTACAACCAACGGAGCAAAAGTATCGCGAAGATGTTGGTGAAATCTACCGTTCTTTAAATTATCTAAGAAACGAAAGAAAAGGAAAGGAAAGGAAAGTAAAGGAAAGGAAAGGAAAGGAAAGGAAAGGAAAGGAAAGGAAAGGAAAGGAAAAGATAAGCTTCAATTCGAGTAGATTGAATTTTATTTTCCGAAGAATTTTCAAACTCACCGTCTTCCCTCAAGTAATCGTTTAAAATTTTAAACAGTGGAAAACTGTCCCACGTGTCCGGTGGTTGTTCGGCAAGCACTTTGTCCATGTCGACAGCGAACAAAGACCAGAAGATCTCGGCGTGCTCCACCATGAGGTCGCTAAACCAGGCGAATGCCTGCGGTACAGTGTAGTAGGAGCGGATCGTGAAAATATTGGACGTCACACATATACGGAGGGCACAGTGCGTCTAACTCAGAGCGGTGGGGGTGTCGCCCTGAGTAAAGAATCCTCGAGAAAGGAAAAAGAACTTTACGAATGCAGAGTTTCGGTTTAAATGTCACCGGACTATACGCGTGTCAATGTTTATCGAAAAAGGACGAATTCAGATTTCATTCTATGTATATTTTCGCGAGCTCGTATTCCGAGAAAATAGATACCTCCATATTGGAATTTCTGTATTACTCTCGAGAATTCCGGAAAGCAACAATCAGTTCTAGAAATCCAACTAATACCTCCGAGTAATGCTCTCCGTTTTGCTGAAGTAGATCCACACACATTTCGGAGAGGTGTATGAGATCTTCGAGCTTCTTGCTAGGAGGAACGCACACGTCGCCGCTCAAGTCGTCTTCGATCTTTGCTTCCGCGGAGAGTTTTGTGTAATTAAGGAGAGCTGCCGTTTCCAGACATGTCTTGATCAAGTCTTTCACTTCTTCCGGAGCCACGGGACTGACTCCATCTTTCATCATTACTCGCTCCAAAAGCGACAAAGTAGCCTTTAACGCGCCCTCCGGTCGTCCGAACGGAAAGCTGTATCTGTTAGATTACCATAGAATCCATAATTCCAACAACTGATCGATTTTACTTATATCCAATCGAGCTCGGTAAGTACAGGTACGTTGGCAAGGTTGTGACCCATTCAAACTGTTTCTCTATGTATAAATATGAAAGAAAAGGGAATGGGTTACCTGAAATTAGTGATTTGCTTTTCAAGGATTTGTCTCAGTCTCTCTTTGATTTCTTGAAATTTATCCTTCTCTTCGTGGGTGATGGATCCAACGCTGTCGGTTCTATTCCCATAGACATGAGTAGCGCAAAAGGCAAAGCTAAAGTGCACTAGGGTCGGGTCTATCATGAGACATCGATCGATTCTGTCCAGCAGATCGTTTAAATAACACAAATGACGAAAGCATCCTCGTACGCCGTACCTGTATACCATAAAAAACGAACGAAAATATCGAATACCCCTCGAGACAGTAGTGTCTCCTTGTTAGTCAACTGTCAGCTGGTAACCCGAAAGAAATTGTGTTCTCGAGTAATATGTAAATAGATATGTAGAACAGCAGTACCTGGCGCAATACTCGTCCAAAACGAACAGCTGACCGGGAGAGAACCAGCCGAGTGAGCAATACGGGTCGTTCAATCGATAATCCAAAATCAGATTTTGGAGAAATTTAAAAAGAGCATGGTGATCGAATTTGCAAGGATCCGCGCTAATGTAATCCTCCATTCCATGTTTTTTTGCTCTATCGGCGTCACCCTGTATCTTGCTGACGGTAGAATTTTTATCCGCGACGGAAACCGGAGGCGTAGGTTTGTGAGATTGACCAGTCGCTCTGTACATAACCATCACCCATGTCTGACACTCGTTTTCGTCTTCCGAGGCGAACACTATGTTGTCTCCTTCGCGAACTGCATTGAAATAGTACCTGTCGAATTGAATTTTCTTTCGAAAAGGGGTTGGCTCGAGACGACGTGTTGTTATTATTGGACACTCCCGGACATTCAACCTAGGCGGATATCGTGACGTTTTCGGACCTCTTTGTCAATTCATTGTCTAATTGTAAATCGCTAAAATGACTAAAGTGACTAAAATCACTAAAATCACTAAAATCACTAAAATCACTAAAATCACGAGCAAAAGGTGATAACTAAAGTCCTTAGTGATAAGCTTAGACGGCGGCGATATCGGGAAACGATGGCAAACGTTAAATTACTGTCCATTCTCTCCGACACTTGTAACAGTGTCGAGGAAACCATTGTTGAGCGTGAGAGTGTAGGAATAATATGATGTACATATTATAATCACGTCTACTTACCTTCCGCCGTCCAAGTTCTCGCCCACCATCATATTGGCAGAGACGGGTTCGATGTAGTCGACCGTGTAACCATCGAGTTGCATCATTTCCGATGGCTCGCTCCTTTTTTCTTTGTACGAGCACATAGCAAACGTGTACTGTGAGACCTGGACCAACACGTGGTAACGTTTCTTCCACTTTTTCCACACAGATTTCCCTATAGCGTAAAGGTAACCGCAATGTTTCATGTTGAAAGGCTTGTCCATCCGACAACCAATCTTTATACGAAGATCTCGATCGGGACTGTTCTTCGGAACAACCAACCGATACCATTCCGGCTGCTTGCAAGCGAGCGGCGTCGGTCGTATAATAACTTTGCCCAATTCCTTATCCTCGAGAGCCAACATTGCCGAGTTTTCAGTATAAAGTCGAACCTTGACAACTGGTAGGGGGTGCATGGTCGTAAAGTCGCCCTGAGTGTCCCACCTGCGAGCGATTCGATCAAAAGGTTTAAAAGCGCCTAATTTCATGCACCAGTACCGACTACTACATAGACGCTAGGTACTACTAGTGTACCAGGTACTAGGTAATAGGTACTGAACAGATCTATTCAATTTCGATTCAACTATACTCACATAGGTTTCGATGCCTCTGCGTGATCCGTTTGCAATTTCTTGCCTTCTACTTCCATCGTGCAGAAAACAATTTTATTCGGTGGGAGACTTTTCAGCCCTCTAACCTCGATCACGACTACGGCCAACTGAAAGGTTAAGCCGACATCCATTTTGGTCAGCTGGAGTTCAGAGTCGGCAGAGTCACCTTCCAATTTGGAGAGGGAACCCTGACCGCGACAGCGGGAACGATCACGCCGGTGATTGTAACGCTTCAGTTTCGGCAAGCCATATTTACTATCTATCGAACCCTTCGAGACTGGTAACGATTCCAGATTAGCCATTAGCAGATTAATGGACGATTTCTGCTCCTCGATGTAAAGCGACTCCATCTCTTTAACGAGGAATTTTGGCATGAGTTTCCGATTCTGCGTGAGAAAGAAAAGGCTTGCGATGATATAGAGTCGGTTAAACTGGAACAAGCCTGAAAAGAAGAGTTGGAAAATACAACGAACGATACCTTCTCCATTTCGTTGACCTTTTGGAGACGACCGTCCAGCTCCCTCCTGATGGCAGCAGCCTGCTCGTCGGCCGAGTCCAACAGGAGGGCGCTGAACAGAAGCTGATGCTCGAACTTTTTTATGCCGAGGATTTGTTGGAACATGTCGTACAGCTGTTCCTTCGACAATATCATCTCTGAGATCAAAGACTGCTGTTGCATCCTGGAGGGCCTCTTGGTCTCCTCGTCACCCGTACCTTTCATGATACAATCGAATTTGGCCAGCCAGGATGTAAGCACAGTCTCTTTGCTCAAGCCATTCATTTCTGGAAGCCGTCGAACACGTATCTCGATGTTCTTCTTGAAGACTTCGCGAAAGTCGAGCTGCGAACAAGCGCCACTCTGCACCATTTGAATTACTCTGTCCGACGTTAAGAATACGTCGTAATAATTCTGTATGGCGTAGCGGAACGCTTCGTCTGCCATGATCTGTGTCTCACCCTTCAAGAAACTCTGCAAGTCAGAATAAATGCCTTTTAAACTTTGACCCGGGCTGGTGTACCATTCGAATCGAACGACGGTATAGCGTGCCGTGAAAGCAAAGGTTACGCGTGCACGAGAAATTCGAGCGTATGTAAGATGCCTACGTATGGCTTCTGAACTGTTCCCAAAAGGTTTCTTGTGTCCCTTCCCGCCCGCCGCTCCTTTTCTCTTTCGCCGCCGTGCAGTAGGTATAAGCAAAGCATCATCGGTAGCTATATGCTATATGTATTATGGTATACCATATACATATGTAGTGAGGCGAAACAGAAAGCGAAGGGCCAGCCCTCGGCTCACCTGAAAGCGAGAGCATATTGTCTCGAGTTGTTGTTTGGTCACTTTCAGTTGTCGCCTGGTCATATCCAATGGTTGTTTGGCATTGAACGGATAAGAGATGCATCTCGATACAAACACGTACAGCTGAATCCTGGTCTTTCTCTCTTCTTCCTCGCGTTCTTGTTTGTCCTAGAACGATACGTCATCGTTCACTCACGGTCAAACAAGCAGGAATCGTGGACGGACAAGCCTTGCGATTTTACCTGTAGGTCTGTCTCGGTTTTCTCGCTCGCGACCGAAGGTGAGGGACTGGTGGGCCTCTGAGAGTAACTGGCCGCATCCTGCGTAGCAGACATCGACGGCGACAACGAATTCCTTGCTGCGGCGAGATTCGATGCGTCTCGAGCAGAAGAGCCATCCTGACCGGCACAGCGAGGCGTCCCGATAGGACCGTGGCTTGACCCTCCAGGAGACGCAGTCATGCCCGAGGCCAGAGAGCTCAGGCTTCCGCTAGCGGGGCCGCTGGCGGCCCCGAGACTTCCGGCCGGTCCGGTTTGTCGCCGAGAACCGTACGAGCTACCGCTCCCGCCTCGAGCACCTCCGCCGCCACCGGCACCACCCCCGCTACCGCCGGTACCACCGACATCCTTAGGATCTTTCTTCTCCTCGTCACTCTCTTCGGACGAACTGGGATCGATCATCTCGTTCTCCTAAGACCTCCCCCGAGGAGGCCTAGCTTGGTCACAAGTCCGACGCCGTTCCCGATACCCCTGCAATCCAACAATTTCAAACGAAAAATTCTTTCTGGAAACCGGCAAGCAAAGACATTGTAGACACACACACAGAGAGAGAGAGAGAGAGAGAGAGAGAGAGAGAGAGAGAGAGAGAGAGAGAGAGAGAGAGAAGGACAAGCATCGGTTCGACTTATTGTCGACTTATCGTTCGATTAATGTCGATCGATTCCATTCGTCCTATGTTCGGCTACAACGTTTCCACGTTTCCGATCGAGAATCGAATTGCACACGTATGTATGCATACTTAGTTACCGTCGCTGCACGCGATCGAACGCAACGCGCAAATGTCCGCGTTCGCGTACTCCCGCTAACAGAGAATCTCAGCCTGAGATTGACCGGGAACCGATCCCGAGATGCTAGGACAAATATATTTTTTTATTTCCGTGAAACCGTTTCAAAAGACCAAATTAGAACACGGTTCGTATACTCCACTAGAGTACCCGTATACAGGCTTTACCTTCTAACCTAGATATGCAAATATTTCTGGCGCGACGTCGATAAGTCGACACACGACAAGACAGCACGAGACGCGGGAAATCATCTAGCCAAGTTTCAGACATTCTACGGTCAATAAAAATCAACGATTTAGGGACCATCGAGCAGGTGTACGCGTCAAAAAGGTCACATAAGTCAAATATTTATTACACATCGTACGACACACGAAATCTCGACAACGGTATCGATCCGGTAAACTGGCTCTGATTTCTTCGACGAGTCGATCGTCTGTATTGCGTGAATCGAACGTATACCATCGTTCCGGGGATTCAAATCTTTCCAACCAATTAAAAGTACACCGGTTCAAAATATTTATCGGTTCGCAATCTATAGTTTTGGTGTTTTCGTCACATTCCGCACTGGACGATATTTAAAACCTGTCGTCGGAGATAGCCAGATTCTGTCATTTTTAGCCAAGCTAACGAGCCGAATTAGATTCCGATATGCTTTATCTGTTCGTCGTCCTCTTTCGGAACATCTCGACGAGTAGACGAATTGATTAGGATTGCTCGGATCTTTTGCAAATTCATTCATACATCAATAAGGACGAATCACATATGTACGTGTAAAGAGATATCGAACGTTTTTACACCGCATTCGTTCATTTCGTCGTGGATGCAGCTCAATGTATTGACGTTACGAAAAAATTGATCGATTATCCAAAATTATGACAGTAGTATAAATACTTTTATCGGCATTTCCTTGAAATAAAGCAATAAAGAACATAATAAAGTCTGCCGTTCAATGCGTTACCTCGCTTCCGATTAGATAAATTGGATGCGAGTTATTTTTTCCACGTCCTTCCTGGGTCTGCCAGAAAGACCGATAAAATGTCTAAGGAACAGGAAGTTTCACGGAAGGCGCAGAAACGATGAATATGCTGATTCTCTTTCCTGTCACATTCATTTTCGTCGCCGTACGGATTAGAAGCACGTACATTTCTAGTTAAGAGACGAGATTGTACGTTATCGTTACTCGCACTTCCCTCGTGGGCGTCCATTACTGTTGCGGCGTCTACATTTCCGTCGAACTCGAATCGCCTTTGCCTTTAGACTTTAGACGTAGCGCGGATCTGTTTTTGCTATAATCGAGGCAAAATAAATTCTTATTCAATTGGTATAATTGAGAAAAAATTTGCAACGGAATGACGAATGTCGACACGATTCGAACAGGACAAACATACCTACCAATATTCCCAGAGAATTTACTGTGACATGTGATATTTCGACATGCAAAGATTGCAAAGGCATTCTTTCTTGGGCATCTGTATCGGCATTCAGTCGCCGGGTATGTCGAGGAACCAAAGGATTGCAACGACGAATTTACTTGTTCGTGCAAATCTTATTTTTGATCCTCTTTACACACACACACACACACACACACACACACCCTGTCGCTCCCACCTGTGATCTCTCATTTTCTCTCTTATACTCTCAATCACTTTCTCGTTTGCTTTCTCGCTTTATTTCGTGCATGCGCGCACCGTAGCACCCACGATCGTTATTGCGAACCAACTGAAACCAACCTTTTTTTTTCAAGCAATACGTGACCACGATGACCCTGAATATTGGCTGGTCATTCTACCTTCATATTATCGTGTTTAAATACGCTTGCGGATATTCGAATTGTACCACGTCCCTGTAAGGTGATTTTCTTTGTACTCCGTTACTAGGCCGAAACACAAGATAAGAAAACGATACTAAAAAACAAAAACTTCGGCAACCTTCTCACCGCAATTACAACTAGGACATTTGTTCCATTTTCGTCGAGTATAAACACTAATTAGCGAAAGTAGACGAACATATACCCAAAGATCGCGATGAACTAACGTACCCGACCGCCTCTGTTCGTCAACTGACCAACTATTTGGATGGCGCTAACCACGCCGACGCCGACGCCGACGCCGACGCCGACGCCGACGTCGACACTGATGCCAATGAGAAACCATTTGCGATGATAAAGACAGGCTTCTGAAGTTTTAAAAAATTAAAAAAACGAAAGTGATAGACGGAGAACGAAAGAAACAAGTATGCAACCAGGCATTAAAGGACTATAACTAATAATAATATCCATCAAATATTGTAGATTGATCAGGTCAAACATGAAAACAGAATTAGGAGAAAAATCAGAATGTAAATGAAAGAAAAATCATAAAATGGACAAGTTAATTCTAAATACTTGTCAGAAATAGATAAAAACTGAACAGAATAGAAACAAGAGAACATAAACAAGTTGGGATGTGGGAAAGAAATAGCACGATAACGAAAAAAAGGGACGAGTGAAGCAGTCAGTAACGTGGGTGTGTCGAAACAGGGGTATGCCATGGTAGGGTCAAAGTAAGGATAGTTTCTAGGCAGGGACGAAGCGGTAGTAAGCCATCGATCGGGTGCGCACAGTCGTCGATGCTGACACGGCTGCAATGCAACCACTCTTTCATCACCGCTAGTCATTCGTTCCGTTCCGTTGCATTGCTTCCGATGTCGTCGACTTTTTGTACCAACAACTTATTAAAACCGCTTCTCTAAACTCATCTTTCCTGTCTCGTTTCGCATCGACTCGATTTCATGTTCACAATCAATTTCGTACCTACTACGAACATACATGTACGTAACTTTTTACATAAATATGTTTGCATTATAGAATTGCTATGATGCGCTTCCTCATTTCCTTTTTCCTTTTTTGTACACGACAAAACTGGGATAGCGTATCGAATTCGATGGATCAAGTGGACGGATTTACAGATTAATTTAGACTGAAATTACGTTCCACGTCATATCTACCGACAATAATTATCTTTCTCCTCTCATTTACCAGTTGCCCACCGCTCAAGTTCAATCTAACATATTGCGTGAAATCACGAAAATAAATGAATAAACACACACACACACACACTCTGATGTATTTGTGTACATAAATTTTGTGAGCGTCGTTTAATTACTAGTAGACGTGCACGTGTTTGTTGAAACCACGGATTGATCTCGTAAGCGCGTGCATGGTTGTCAGCTGTCACAACATTTCATAAATGGCAGCAAATAAATTGACAACTATAGAATTCGATGCATCTATTCCCAATAATATTCGTGTAAAATTCATCGAATCATCCCAGAACTTAGAAGGTGTTTGTTAAGCAGCATAAGCTTTCGTTATTTCCTTTCACAGGGCAGAATCAGGACGATTACCCGAAATCCTGGCGTTGTGCCAACTAATAAAAAAATAGGTTATCGATCGATCGCTCGCTCGGTAGTAGTTTTCCTATAGGTAGCTGCAACCTCAAAGTCGCTAACAAAATCGTCAACTCTTCCTACGTCGCCGATTTATTTACCGAAACTACAATATGTCCTTTTTCTATTTACACTTCTAGCGACTTTTCGATGTTCCGGCTCTATTAACTTCAAACTCATTCAAAATCCTTATTTAAGCTATAACATGCGGACAAAAACAAATGAATTAGGGCATGAGGCGATATCACTACACATCCAACACATATTATACATACATATATGTCTGCATCTACATCTACTATCATACGCCGAAACGCACTTATGTTAATTTTCTTCTGCAATGTCTCCAATCATCTACATACATACATTTGCGCGCAATTGACACACATATCGTTCGACCAAATAATTACATGTATGGCTGTCGGTAAACGGAAAACAAGAGAATCCATAAATTGGAAATCCTTAGGACTTAGGAGAAAGTAAACACAATGACAAAACCATTAGATACATCAACGGAGTACATATTAAGAATTATAAATGAAACTATTAATAACAAAAACAACTAAATCGTAAAGCTTTTATATATGCTACCAGATATTCGAAATCTTAAGGCAAAATTAAATACTTCAAACTGTGTGTTCAAATTTATTTTCGTGCGAATCAATATAATTTCTGTACGTCTGAGAAATCTTGGTTAAATAATGGTACTTCAATATCCGAGGTGATACATTCACAACACTTCTTAAAACAGAGCTAAACGGAGTGCGGACTGATTGCTCGTGAGCAACAGCGACTCGAACTTTCCCTCCCATATTATTCCCACTATGGTCCTCAGATTGACTCGTTCGAGTGTCCCTACCGTCCCTACCAACAGACTTCCCGCCACGACTCGAAGGAGTCATTCTGAGGTCTATAGTGAGGGTAAGCCGGGAGGGGAAATTCGTGTTGCTGTTTCTCGTGAGCGAATCGGTTGCGCAACTCTGTTTTGAAAAATCAGCAAGAACAGAACAATTCGAATTTACATTAGATTTAGGACGTAAATCAAATTAACTTAAAACAAGCCTTAGACTCGATAAATCATCAAATTTTCTTATCTAAATTATGTAGCCTCAATGTTACAGTTTAATAAAAATGCGCACGGGCATGCTAATAACCCCTTATTATAATGCTCTTAAAGTACACGAAACTTTTAACAGTACATATCGAATGCATGCATGCCTTAGTATCGTTTTTTCAATAAATTTCGCATTCTCGAAGTACATTAATTACAAATTAGATGTTGCTTCTGTACTTAAAGAATCCCTGATAATACGTAGAATACCCTCTATTATAGGATGCATTGGTGCTATCTCAGCTGGAACATACCTCACTTATTTGATTGTTGTATAATAGTATAAACAGAATTTTTACAAGATAGATTAAACATTTTGTGGGACTTCGTGCCGCCAGGAATTGGTTTTACCGACTGTACCGATACTTTGAAAGCATAGATGTAAGCCGATGACTATGAATTCCGGCCATAGTACCGTGTACATACATATAGGGTATCTCAGCTAACTTGACAGGTCACACAGCGTTATATGGAGAGCATTTGCTTGACCAAGCACTCGGCGTGTAGCTTACAGAACGTACATTAATCCCCTGCCATTGACAATAACAATAAACGACCAGAACACTGTTAAAATCGCATTTAACCGCGGAACACCACTATTTTTTCGACCGGTGGCGCCACTCGTGGCAGTTCGCTCAAACTGCTAGCCAAATCATACCGACAGGTGAGTGAAAATTTCTAATGATCTACAGCGTGCACGTAGTATGTAAATATGATTTTGACTTTCATTCAAAATATACAAATATTTTTCATTGGAATGTTTGACTTCTATTCCGCGGATATTATTTTCTTCAATTAAAAGTTAAAAACGTCCTACTGTCAAAGCGTTTAGTTATCATTTATTCATTCATTGTGTTTTAAAAGCAAGAATACACGCATGCGCCACAGAGAATGTTATACCGCGACTGAACCCATGAACATAGGAATTCGTAGACGGAGCGCAAGGTTCCATTCTTAGGTCCATAACTGGATGTAAAGACTGTAGTGCCCTCGCTTCGTAGCAAAGTTCAAAAATACACTTTGTTTCTTTAAGGCAGGCCTGTCCAATATCTGGCCCGCGGGTCATTTCGCCAGTCGACGCGGTCCCCACCATCACTCAGTCCATACCCCACTACTCGCTTGCGCTGCGATGCGCATTGCGATCGTGCGGGTAGGAATTTCTGGAGCGTCAGAAGTGGGGACAGTCAGAGCATGTACACACGCTTTCTTGCCTCTATATCGCGTCGGGCTTCTTGTGGATATGGAGGGGGGTCATTCCCCTCGGCTGAAAGAGCAAGCCGGTAGGGACGATTATCGATTTTGGCCCGCGGGCCACAAGTTGGAACAGGCCTGCTTTAAGGGATCACCCCCATCACGGGAGTTTCCGGACTTATACATATATACGACCGTGGTTATGGCTAAATCGAGAGGTCGTCGCGAACGAGATTTTCACTGAAATCGATGGCGATAGCTAACAATCGAGAGTCCGCGATTGTTAATCGATACGCGAATCATCGATATTTGCGAGAACAAAATTGTAGATGTGACAGCATGTGACAGTGATTCATGGTAGCGATTGCTATGCGTTGATGAACGTGAACGAACCAGAACGAACGAAGATTACGTTGATCGAGTGGAGAGTGAAGTATCCACCAGTAGTTCATTTGCTTGTTTGTCAAAGGAAGCGAGAAACAAACGGAGCAAAGCTATGAAAAATTTGGCAAAGATGAGGCAACGGCAAACATGAAACTCGTGTACCGCGAAATTCTTCAACGATAATCGACCATCTGTTCTAACCATGTTCAAGATCGGGGCAACACGACCGACAAACAATTCAAACCCACCGAGTCTCGTTGCGTCGAACAGACCAACATGGAAGTAACCTGTTTACAGCAATACCTGTGGAATTGTTTCAAGATTATTCTGAACGTTACGGTGACGTTTGCGAGAACTCGCAGCGGACGAACGACCGTTCGAATCGATGGATGATAATTAATCCGGAACGATGTAAATCAACAAGAATTGATCATACAGAAAGCGAACGGACAGACGTGCAGCGTAATTGTCGTCATGCATCAGTTACTACACCTTCGTAGTCGTCCTTTGCAAACGCTTATTTTAGGATTGATCGGCTTGACTTTTTACGCGTATTATCGCACCACATATTACGACGTCCCACAGTACGCCATACCTCGAAATAACAGTGAGTATTGTTTTTCACGTTCTCTTCTCCATTTACTAGAAGCTAGTAAATGGACGTCAAACATTTTCTTTGCAGCTTGTCATAAGCACTTTGTTTTCGCGTAGGTCGTGTCGCGTATCAAGAGGCATTCAAGCAACGTATGAACACCAGCGTCGAACAACGCGTGGCGGTGGCGTCAAAAAATTCTTCCTCCGAGCCGTCTATCCTCGCGCCCTATAATTTACAAGTTACTGGCAATCTGTCGAGTCCCGCAGCTATAACTTCATCGACGTCCTCGATTTCTCCGAGTCAGTCCTCTGCGAGTGTTTCGGTCGCCGGTTTCAAGCAAAGCAGCGAAAGGCCTACAGCTCGAAAAGAGAAAACTTCAAATGAAACCAAAGAAGTCACCGCATTTTCCAATGAATATTCAGCACGAGCCATCTATGAAGCTGGTCACACAGTACCGATACCTGAAAGATGCCCAAATTTTGGGAAAGAGATGGATCTGGTTATAATAATAATGTCCGCTCCCACTCACCTAGAGGCTCGAATGGCGATACGACAAACATGGGGTCATTTTGGTCAGAGAAGCGACATTAGTATCTTGTTTATGTTGGGCAAAACACTAGACTCCAAAGTGGAAGCAATTTTGAAAAAAGAACAAAAGACTTACAATGATGTGATACGTGGGAAATTCTTAGATTCTTATTCTAATTTGACGCTTAAAACGATTTCTACCCTGGAATGGGTAGACAGTTATTGCTCCACTGTTAAATTTCTTCTAAAGACTGACGACGACATGTTTATCAATGTTCCGCGTTTACAATCTTTTGCAATGAAACACGCGAAAAACAAGAACGTAATATTTGGTAGATTGGCGAAAAAATGGAAACCAATTAGAAATAAGAAAAGCAAATACTATGTATCTAGAACGCAGTTCAAGAACACCGTTTTTCCAGATTTTACTACTGGCCCGGCTTATCTACTGTCTACCGATGTAGTGCGCAGGTTGTATGAAGCTGCATTGGATCAAACGTATCTGAAACTTGAAGACGTCTTTGTGACTGGAATTGTGGCAGATAAATTGGGAATCAAACGGACGCATGCTAACGAATTCTTAAACAAAAAGATATCATATAGTGCGTGCAATATTCAAAGAGGCATCAGTATACACATGGTCAAATATAGCGAACAATTTGATCTTTGGAAAAAATTACTCGACGGCAAGAGTAAATGTAAGTGATAAATAGTGATCACATGAAATTTTTTTTGCTTTTGCGTACTCGATACAAGTTTCTTGCATCGCGTCAACGCTTTCTCGCACTCATTCGTCAGGATTTATATTCGATGGATCGAATCAGTGTTACCTGTTTATTTGGCGGCCGATTCGATCAATTTTCGATATTTAAGCCGCGAGGAAGAATCGAAACTGAAACTCTATCTGTATATTTTCACGGAACGTGCTCTCTAGATTTAACGATGAGGTTAACAAAGGACATTTGTGTATTTGAATAACACAGATTAATGCCTTTCTTGTTCAACGCCTATCACGTACCCGTCTCTACAGTAGATTTTCGATAAATGTTCAAAATAAAGTACACAATTTCCACACCTCATTAATTTTGAGTCGAGTCTCGCCAGCTCACCTTTGTATTTTGCCAGCCGCGATGGTCGAGAGAATCGACAAAGATTGAATTGCTGCTTACCGGTGAAACAACCGTAATTCAACGATAAAACTTTTTTATTTTTGGTTCTTTGTTAACGAAAATTTTATGAACATATTCGTGAAATTTCGTCTGATTATAATTATACCAAACACGATATAATTTTGGATCATATTTGCTTATTTCATATTGACTCGTTTTCTTTCGTTATCGCTTCTAATAAATTACAAATGACTCAAATTATACCGTGTTTGGTATTATTTTCATCAGGAAAATCTCACCAACATGTTGATAAAATTTGCATTAACAAAGAACCAAAAATAAAGGAGTTTCATAATTGGATTAGCGTTGAGGCACCAATACGCAAGCTTTCAATTGTTTCTTGGCTCCCAAATTTCCAGCCAAGGAAGGGAAATCGCTTGCGTGTTACATTATTCGCTTGATTGGTTTCAAGGGGGAGCCTCCCAGTAATGAGGATGAAGTAGCTATGCATTTAAAGTATAGATCTTTCAGAACATTTATCGAGAATTTACTGTACTTAATATGTTTGTATTGTTACAAAGAACATACAAGTATCCGTCGCAGAACCTGAATCGCACGGAACGCATACAAGGTTGTATCTTTTGGTTGAAATACGTAATATTTATCTACTCGTAATTGCCAATTGACCAATAAGTCTCGAAACGATTCGTCGCAATTGAAAATCTATTCTCCACTCCATGGTGCCATAGGTATACATACACGAACAGAAATGTTGCTTTCGTATTGCGAAGTCTTGTCAAACCATTGCACAATGACGCATGATCAAAATATTCTTGCATTGAGCATGCACGATCGACAGAAATTATTGGAAAGGTTAACGAAGATAACGAAAAACGAGGTAATCGGGTCGTTGCATTTTTTTTTTTATAAGTATTATATACGAATGTAGAATGTAGAAACTCGATAGTGATCGATAAAAATAATGTTTTAATCGCAATACGAATGCAAGTAGCATATTCGATTTGTTATTGCAACTCTTCCGGAACTGAATGTAAATTCTAATGTCATTATTCTAGCGGCATTTGTATAAAATGCATGCTTTAGATATTTACGAACGTGCTACGTGTTCCTTTTTGGAATCGTTCAGCCAACTGTACCTAATAATTCCGAGCGAACACATTGAGCCTGTATGACAACAGTGGACAATCAGTTTATCGTTTGTAGGTCAGTATACAAAAAAAATTACGATAAAACAGAACAGTCTCGTCAGTGTATAAACTGGCCTGATCAATTCGTTACATATATCGCGCTTGTCGTTTTTCTACTGTTCACGCATTAAACAGCAATTTTTTAATACGATATTACACAAAAGATAACTTGTTTTGAAGTTCGATTAGCCGATAGTTTTCTTATCATAGATCAATATTTTGTTTCCCTATATTCTCGAACAAATTAGAAATATGTATGTCTACTAAGGTCCTGTTCCCTTTCCTTCTTATCCAGCTTCCTAGAAATGTTAATGAATCTTCGTTTGTGTATACATACATATACACTATGTATTTGAACGCTCTCTGACTATTTCAGTCATCAGCAGACATACGTATCATCGAGTGATTCGATTGAAAAGTATATTCCTTAGTCGAGTTCCTCGTTCAAGGAATTACTAAGTAAGGAGTGATCCTCTGCGTTGGATGAAGCAGGGGAAAGTATACTTTCTATTGAGATTTTAGAGATTGTATTTTAGGAAAAGTATCAAGTTTTAACCATGATAAGATACCGCTTATCCAACATGGATATGATTATCTTTCATTTTAACAAGAGGCTTATGTAACATGACCTTTGCGCGACTTTTACGTTGTTGTTACAAGCGTACAGGTACAGCGAAAGAAACGTAAGTTCACGATGCTGGGACAAACAGTTTAAGAGTCACAATGCCTTCCAAAATGATCGGTGTATCAATAATCGTACGACGTACGAACATTATTTGTAACTAGTATGTACATTCCACATGCCGTTGCTAAGCTAATTACTATTCTCGAATAATTTACATTTTATTTTTATACTGTTCCGTTACGAGTAGGTCTCGTCCGATTGTACGTTCGATCGTCGCTGAGAGGATTGATTCCCTAATAAAACAATTGTTCCTGTTTTACGTTGACTATACTGCGAAAATAGAATTCAGTCTCAATTCGACATTCCTATTTTATAGAAAATATCCATTCATTATGCTCATAAAAACCTGCATGATCAACGTATGCAACTACACTAGTAGATTTTACTTTTTTTTTCTTCGCGTGCAAATTGGTGTTTTTTTTTTAAATTATTTTTTCTAATTACCGGTTTATCTGATATATAAGGTACCCAGTCAACCAAATTTAGTCCAATGCCTGTTATAAGGTCGTGGCTACAAGTTTGATGCAAGGTTTGTTTATGAACAATTTGCGCGCATATGGACAGCAATATACTTAGCTTTTGCTTTACCATTTTGTCGCCAACCGTTGTCTGCAGAAACTGACAGTTATGGTTTTTTAGACAACTTTTGCCATTATTTGCTGGCTATTTGCTTGAAACTTATCTATTCTGAATTTATCTGTTACAAATAACCAAATGTAAGTCCACACTGACAAAATATAAAAACGAATAAAAAAAGGACATGTAAAAAGTAACATTACTAAAATATCTATTAACGATACGTTTAGAATAAATTGTTTTATGTGTAGATAAGTGAAATAATACATATATATTTTTGCGTTTCATGTTTCATAACTGTCATCAACTGTCATATTTATCCCTTAACCACCGACGAGGTATAAGAATAGACCTTTCGTCCAATGTATTTCTTCGGCCCACTTTTCTGGACTAACGTTACCGGAAAATATTTGGCGCCGAACGTTAACGTATCTTAACGATTCATATCTCAAAAAATTGCTCCCAATTTGCTACTTCCGAATCTGAGATTGCTCCCATCGCACCGTTTATATTTAATGAGATATTCGCAAATAAAGGAAAAATTTGTTATCTGCGAAATAGATAACAAATTCCTCCTGATCTGTTTTATAATATTCAATGGTCAGATATCTTAATAACAACTTATTAACAAGCAGCAATTGAAATAGTTTTGCATACATGTTACGTAGGCTATGACGACATACATGGCATTGTTGTTCCCCGGTTTTCGCTAGGGGAAAAAGTGACATAGGGGAAGGACCTCCTACATACTATGCTCCTACTTCTTAAAATGGGAATTACGGAAATTTATACGAAATTAACATTCATTTTAACCATATTTAATGTAATGCAGTACTTGAATTATATTTACCAAGTAGTAGTACGTCCTTGCCTTATGCCACTTTTTTCAAAACTATTTCAATTGCTGCTTGTTAATAAGTTGTTATTAAGATATCTAACCATTGAATATTATAAAACAGATCAGGAGCAATTTTTTGGTACCATGATCTGGTTGTAAAAAGACCATTTCCTATCTATTTCGCAGATAACAAATTTTTGCTTTATTTGCGAATATCTCATTAAATATAAACGGTGCGATGGAAGAAATTTCAGATTCGGAAAGTGCAAATCCGGAGCAATTTTTTGAGATATAAATCGTTAAGATCCGTTAACATTCGGCGCCAAAGACCCTGTGTGGTGAGAGCGTGGGGTCATAGAACCCCCGCAGGAGGCTAATAGACCCCGTGCATGAGATCGTGGGGTTCTAGAACCCCCGGTGGAGGCGCCAGAGTCCCGATGTGTGGATTGTGGGGTCATAGAACCCCATCAGGAGGCGCCGTAGACCCCGTGTGTGAGATCGTGGGGTTATAGAACCACCGGTGGAGACGCCAGAGACCCCGTGTGGTGAGGTCGAGGGGTCATAGAACCCCCGATGTAGGCGCTAGGGACCCCGTGTGCGTGAAATCACCGACGAGGTATAGGATAGACCTGATTAGACCCATCATCTTATGGGACTTCATGTCTCATGTTCTGAAATACCGATATTGTAAAAAGTCAGGGATTTTCTGCTGCCCTCTACGTTATGAGAACGGTGAATTTGTGAACTACGTTAAATCCATTCGAGCTCAACTAGTCTAACTTCTACAGTGTTGTCGAGTCTAAAGTACAATGTTGTCAGATCATGAGTGTTCGGTACATCGGAAAATCATCGAAGGGACCATGGTCGTGAACGGATTCTCTTTCGTCCGTTCACTGAAAAGTAGACGTATTAGAAAGGAGTCTTGCGTTTGTAGTCCCGACGGACCTATTGGTTTCTTTTCGCGTACAAAACAGTTATTCCGCTTAATATTGTTTTTATGAATATGTATATATATATTATTATGTACATTTGTGTAAATTATTTTATTATTCCATTGTTATTACAACAGTTTAACAGTGACAACGAACGCATGTATATTTTCAAATATCGGACTAACAGTATATTTTTATTCTATATTATTACATATAAGCGAGTAATACGTATCAAAAACGTAATCGAAACACAGATTTTTATTTCCTCACAAACATCGCATAAAAGATATTTCGTTATATTGACGTTTGTAATAATTATGGATGTTGCGGGGAAATCTATTGACATTATGGAACATGTAACGAAATACCACTGTAACACTTAAAAAAGTTTTTAAGTTCCATTTATATCATTGTCCTGCGAAAATGTTCATACTTCCAGCAACATTCATATTCCAATCAAAGAATTTACAGAATAAGGAAAAGGAATCTAAA